TTGTTATTTATCGCTGCCTTAAAGCAAAGAGTTCCCAGGCTTTTACTCTCTGTTCTTGAGGAAATCTATGATTTCTTGAAGTCTTCATGCTCACACTTGATACCACGTACTCCAGCGGTTGCTGCTGTTAGTGGCATGAGCAGCAAGGAGAATAGTACTCATCCTGAGAGCACATGCCACTAAATAATGCAGAGGCTCCATTTTGGCCCCTCGCCTGCATTATTACCCAATATTTTCTTTCCTCTTTTTTGACTGTAGGGCCCTGGCCAACAGCGGGCCAGTTTCCCAGCAGGGCTGCAAGATCAGTTAGGATGGTGTGAGTGAGGATTTATTAAACTAAAGCCAGTTACAAATGTCTTGACAAAATACTTTGCCACTGATCACGCCGATTTGCCAAAACAGGTATTTTCCAAGCATCATGGGAGCAGGGAAAGGTTCCTCGCAGCCTCCACTTCCCCATGAGGGCAGTAATTTGAGGGCTTCTCTGGGGCAGGAGACCAGGCCCCAGTCCCCGTCCCTCATGGTTCAGATTTAAGACTTGCAACCTTAAATCAGCTGCAGGTTTCTGGTTTCCCCCAGCAAAACAGAAAACACTTGACATCTGTGTGGGAGCCGGGCTCTGCCTGCCCCTGGGTCTCATCTGACCTCTTTGCTCACCAGCAAACCCGTGGAGGTGCCACCTCTTCACCTCCATGGCTTTGGAGAGCTGCTGGCACAGGGAAGGACCTTCCCTGGCCACCAGTGAAACAGTAGGAGTGTGGGAGAGGGTGAAGAAAAGGAGCAGGAGCAGGCAGGAGTGGGTGGGACTGAGAAAATGACAGCAGTGGAGGAGAAGGACAAAGATAAGAGGGACTAAGCCCAGAGGCATTACTGGGAGAAGAAAGGGAGGCAGCCCAAGAGCTTCTGGTCCTGGAATCCCCCAGCAGTGCCTGGATCATTTCCCTGCACAACCCCATCTAATTTTTGCCCCATGCAGGCAAAGCAGCAGCTGTCACCTGATTACCTTGGAGCAAGCTGAAAATGTAGCAGGACTTGGCCTTTTATTCCTGCTCCTGGCTCTGCGTGAGGTTTGCAATCAGCAGCTAATGTTTCTCCCCTCACATAATTCACTCCTCTCTCCCGTTACTGTGATTACGCTGAACCATGATTTTGCCCTGCCCTCCTTGAGCCGGCGCTTGGTTGGCTCGGTTATGGCAAAGGCTCCTCACATGCAGCAAGAGGGAGAACAGCCTGTAAAGCACATTCAAGGATACCTCAAAGTCTCCACTGCATCTCCCCTGCAACGTTTCCAATGTGGTATTAAATCATTCCTCATGAGGAGGAGGCTTTTTCTGCACAAGCGAAAAAGCTGGAATGGGATTTTATATCAAGCAGACAGACAGGCACCCTGTCGTCAGCTGCCCCGTCACTGTGAAGTCTGAAGGCATGAAGACACTGACGGCAGGATGGACTGCACCACAGAAAGGAGGGGAGAGAAATACAAGCATGGACTTTGAAAGAACAACCCAAACCCATACCACGTTTCTGCTTGTGACAGGCTGCTTACTCCCCACATGGACTGCCAGCTGTAGCAGAGCATGCTGGGGATCGTGAGGGATTTTAGGCTTTTTTGGGGGGGTGGGTCATCCAGCAGTACAAAGCTGGTGAGGGATATAAAGCATCATATAAAACAGATTTCTGAGGATTTGATATTGCTTTACAATGGGAAAGCCTTCCTCAGAGATGTTAGAAAGGTCCAGCAGAGCGCCCAGACCTGGTTTGGTGTAGACACAAGTTATTATCCATCCATACCCAGGGAGTGCAACTGCAGCACTTGTTGAAGAGCCTTTATTTGCCTACATCAGCTGTTCTGAGCAATATTTGTGTGCACATGAAGATTAACAATTGATTCAGCTGTTCACTGAGACAGCAAGGCCATGGCCATTCACATCTTAAAAGGGGAGACTGAAGTCCCTCCAGGTGTTACGTGCTCGCGTGTTTCTCAGGGACAATTGCCCACACAGCCTGCCCTAACCTGGCACAGCCACCACCGAGTGTGCAGCTCAGCGCCTGGCCCCGGGCGTGCTGGGTGCCCTGGAGCAGCAGCTCCCACCTCTGGAGGGAGCCCAGAGGAAAAGGCTTGGGTTTTAGCACCTTCTCTGCAGACTACTCCTAGGACAGGGAAGGAGGACAAGGCAATGATGAAGATGCTCTGCAGGGTTCATGCTGAGCCCTTGCTGCAGACACGGAGCATGCTCAGACCCAACTCCCACGCATCCAAACCTGCCTTTGGGCAGGATGAACTAACATGAAAATCTACTTAACATGCCAGATGCCACCGTGCTCCCCCAGACCCAGCCAGACGGTGCAGTCTCTGGTGGGGATGCTCTAACGCTTCTTGCTGAGGGTTCATCCTCCCCAGTCAAGAAAATGCAGCTGCCCATGGCTTTTAGGCCAGAATATATAACCTTCTTTCCTGTGTTGAAAGAAGGTTTCCATCTGCACAGCTCTTCTGATGGCTAAGGAGGTTGAAATTCCTCTAAGTCAGGCTGTGGAGGTATCTCTGAGCATTCACTCACTCTGACGGGACGAACGTGCAAGCAAATGAAAGGGAAGCATTTTTGCTCCTCACACAGGGAATTTAACTCCAAATATGATTTAGCTGTGAGAGGAATGGCTCCCTGCCGGGATGTGATCCTTCAGTCTATAAGTACTGGCTGTGCCATTTCACATGAAACAAAAAATCCTGGAAACATATAATTTCCCTTTCTATATGCAAAATCCTGTGTCTCTGCTGATGAGAATCTTTTAGTAGCAGCCCCGCCGTTGTTTGCAGGATAAAAATCCATTAACTGCGCATTGTATTCACCCATAATTTCCTCTTTTTGGGAACGGCTGGGTTTCAGGAGAACTCTTTTACCTGCCTGGAGGCAGCATATGCTTTTCCAGCGGCAATGCTTCACAGCAGAGCATCACTGCCGAAAGCTGTGCGGATGCTACTAACCAAGACTGCCCTCTACCTCCCCAGGCTCTGCAGCACATCACTGCTGCACCCCGCTTCTGTGCTGCTGCTGAACACAGATTTTGGGGGACAAGGGGTGCCCCACTGCCAGGGGTATGGAGGAGGTTTCCCTGGGCACGTGGCAGGCCAGCAAATGTGCCCTCCTGGAAACCTGCTCAGCAGGGACCTACTTGTGCTCCTCTGCCTCTCTCTGGAGTTGCACCTTTGGCAGCTCAGTGGATCAAACCCTGTGCCTGCTTCATGGCAGGCCCCTTCCCTTAACTGGGACGTCCCAAGCTTGAGGATGCCCTGACTAACCCAGGCTAAACCCTTGGGGTTTGGGTGAAAATGAGGAGGGCTGAATGTGAACGGGCCATGAGCTAGCTGCTCGCCATGTCTTGTAACGCATTCATCTCCTACATCACCGTTCCAATCCACAAGCCTTTACGAAAATTTCTTATTATTACAAAGAGAAGAAAACTGGGCCTTTAATGTAAGCCCACTGTTAAACTGTTAAATCTAACAAGGGATTAAATTATTTTTGTAATCGGAGTAATGCATGATACTTTCATTCACAATAGCCTGCAATAAGAAAACTTTACAGAATTGACTGTGACATGTATAATAAGAGATGTCATGAGATTGTAATTTAAAAGGATGGGCAGTTAATTAAAAACCCAGTGTGGTGGTTCCACCTGCAGACTCAAACCATTCTAGAGGCTGTATTGTCTTACTTGCATCACACGTGTTAAGCCATCCTTACATCGATTGCAAAGATAATGTTTATATTTTGAGTCTGTTTAATAAAGAGTTTCTTGGGAGGGGGGAAATCTGAACTGATTTTTTAATTTCTTGATTTGGGGTTAGATTTTTTTTAGTACATAAAATGAACCACTTGGAAGCCAATGACCTTCTGGGAATGTGCTTGCACCAGCGGTGGGGTGCAAGACACGTAGAGCTGGTGCTGAGGACCCAGCTGCCACACTCATATTTGGGGGCTTGCTCTGAAACAGTCTGTTAGCAGCCGGATTGCATTGCCTGCACCTGCAGAGCACACCTCCTAGGGAGGTCGCCTGGAAGGGACCTAATCCATGCTCCTCAGGACCACTGCAAGGTCAGCCAGCACACAAGAGGTGGGTATAATCAGGAGATTCACATCAAAAGGTGCTACTGATCTGAATTAAAATGCTAATGTAGATACAAGCACAGCCTGATGTGAACAGTACCCATATTTCTATGTCCCATGCATCTTTTTCGCCTGCCTGAGTCAAGCAGCGATAATCCAGAGCGGTCTGTAACACTGTCATTTGTCATTGCAGACAGCCAGAGACTGCTGCTAACACCACGCTGTAGCATCTCTGAATGCAACTGGCAGGAGCACACCTTGATTTGGATTCTCTTGCTAAGCAGCATTACACACTAGAGATGTGTCTGCAGGAGCCAAAAAAATGGGAAATTCCGACGCCTGATGACATTCGCTAGCAAGGGGAGCTTTTGCTGAAGTTAAACTTACAGTACCAGCCTAAGAATACAACTGGTATTTTTGCAGAATGACAAACTAGACCCACAAATGCCGTTCGCTGGAACCAGTGGAAGTTAGAGGCTTATGGCCTCTGTGGCTTTGAGATTCAGTTTCCTAGACCTACGTCTTGAAGA